AGCGCATGTGGAGTAAATACATCTCGTCGAGGCGATTCTTACACAGACAACAGTGTGATATTCAGAAACGTCACTGAATCCAATGCCGATCTTCCTACCGAGCGCACGCATGCTGGTCTTGGTTGGCTTACGTTCTGCGGGATCAGGCTTTTACCACCAGGTTTCCTTGGCGTTACTGCCAGGAAGCTCATCAGGTTGCGGAACTTTCCGGTTGGCCAACCAAATCCCCGATCTGGTCTGCGTAGGTTGGTCCCTTCGCCCCCAGAAGAGCGCACGGCCTTACTGCGAGGTGCCTTTAAGCTTAAAGAAAGTGACGCTAGCGTGCAATTAGACCTTCCATTAGCGGATAGGTTAAAGTTAAAGGAAGGCCTTAGAGACCTAAAAGCCCGGCGTGCAGCTGGCGAGCAAAGGCTTCAATTCGTGGGTTTCAGGTGGCCAGCCGGTGGTACTTTTCCGCCCCGCCAAAACATATTCTACTTGCGCGCGACACAGGACTGGCCGTGCGCAAGTCCTGCAGGTGGCACACAGTAATGTGCGTAGCCAGAGGAACAATATGTGCGAGGTGGGTCTGATGGTAGACAAATCTCGTCCAGGTATACTTGCTTTCACTGAAAAGTGACTACCTGAGGCAATCACAGATGGCAAAGTATATCTGCCCGGCAACACACTGTTCCGCGCTGACCGCTCCATTGGACATCAAGGGTTGGTGTATCCATTTATGGGAGTTAACACATCGACGTACTGAAGACCAGCGTTTTTCAGTCTCTCGACAAAGCTGTCGAGCCTCTCGCAGTCTTGAGTGGTGCTTCCTCGGTTCAGGTTACGGTCGTGTTAGTGTATAGAAGCCCTATGAGCACCTCCAACGTAAGCGTTGAGTTTATACACACTCACTCTGCGAACAAGCGTATCGTGCTGGGAGTCTTCAATCTCCCAAAGGTTGCTTAGGAGGATCTATCTTGCAGTTTCGACGCTAGGATCGTTCGGTACAGAACTGCTGCACTTAGCGCTGTAGGAGCCACTACACCTGTTCTTGGACCTCCACACTGGGTATATGAGAAGTCAGCAGCCATCCATTTTAGATCTTGCTTTTGCTGTCATTTGACTTTGTAAATGACATTACTTACGACGCCCTTGGCGCCAGCGCTCACGTTTGATTGTCCTTCCAGTGTATCCTTATCAGACCTTGCCAAGCTACTACCAGTTTGTATCCGAACGTTTGGGCCGCGGAATTCCAAGCGATGCGCGATAAAGCTAGCTCCTCGCCTTGTGTGATATCTGAGACTAAAACGGTTCACAATGCCAGCACCGCACATATATATATATATTTGCAACAGTCTATGAATAGACATTGCACCATCGGAAACCATGGAACACAAAACAAGGTACAGAAATAGTAAAAGAAAACACAACACAACAATGTCCACGGTTTCGTCAGAGGGCGAAATACTACCCGGTTGCCCAAGCCGAAGTTGGGTGTTGACTTACGGGATACCACCCCGAGCCTTTGGCTGAATAGCCTGTCCGCAAGGCAGCGGAGCGAATTCAGGGAATCGCGCCCATTGGGAGCCGGTGACTGATTGATCAGTTCATACGCCTTTCGTTTGTTCCCTTGCCAAACAGGGGCCCAATGCTCCCCAGAAGTACAGCATGATGCTGCTGGAATAAAATGCTTCGCCAGGATGAAGCAAGGGGCAGTGACTTTATTTAGTGGCGAGTCACGTCCGCCACGTCACAGTGTTGTTAAACGGACATATGTGGCTTTTTATAGGGAGAACACTTGCCAGGCGAAAACCCACCACGTCCTGGAACACTGCCGCCGAACCAATTTCTGGAACGGGAAAATCCCGAACCACCCAGCTGGCACCACGAGGAGGTTGTTCGGCAAGCCAGCCGCACCGCACATAACATTGGTAAAAAACAAGAATCAAGAACATAGCCACCGTGGATAGATTCCGCGGGGAAGGGCTTGCTAAGGAAGCGGTCTAGATGCTGGCGAGCGGATCAAACAGCTCGGTTAAACAGCGCATTTGAGAAGTATTAGTTGGTTCAATGAGTGCAAGCTGCATCAGCTTGGCCCGGCTTCAGTATGAAAAGGACTTTTCTGTTGAGGCCTCGTAAAATATCAAGAACATCTCCGCTCACGTTAAACGGCGCGGTGGTGCAACTCGCCCATGCCACCATTGATCCGAGTAGATGGGACCCATGCGCATAACGACTAGGACAAGGCATGCTTGCGTGGTGAGTAGTACTAAGACGTCTTTGTCCACGAAACAAATATCCCGCGCAAAGAATTAGCTTCAAGGGTCTCTAAGGACGCTTGACTGGATGAAATTCCTGTAACTTAGTCTCAAGTTCTCCGGTTGCTACGAGAGGTAAACCCAACTAAGGCTTCCGCGCCAGATTCTGTTCATCCAAAATCGCTGCACGAATTGGCATTGGAACTAAGTGGATTTCTGACTGGTGTGTTTCAGAAGTCACTCAACATCTGTGTCTAACCTACCAAATGAAAGAAAGCTGTTGTCTGCCCTATTTTAAGTGCTGTGATAAAGACCTACCGGCGTATTGCAGGCCTGTCAGCTAGCCTAGCGTGGTCGTTAAGCTACTTGAAAACTTAGTACGAGATATAATGGAGAACCATTTAAATAGGTTCAACCTGCTTAGCGTCGAGCAACATGGTTTTCGCGAATGATTTTCGCGTCAAACGAACATGCTGATGGCTCGTAGGAGTTGGGCCGAAGCCGTAGGCAGTGGACATGCGGTGGATGTGGTGTCAGTTGTCTTCGCCAAGGTCTTTGACGCTGCCCCCCATTCCCGACTTTCACTGAAGTTGAGGTCGTACGGAATATCTGGTCGCCCTCTCCAGTGGGTGTCAGTTTTCTGGATGGACGGGAACAGTGTATTCGTGTAGGAAGCAGTCTTTCGTTTCGACAAGCTGTACTTAGCGACGTTCCGAAAGGCTCTGTCCTTGGTCCGCTGCAGCTTTCAGCATACGTGAATGACTTGCCGAGGGAGCTTGAGGTACCATCGCTCTCCTTTGCTGATGACCTAAAGCTCTGGAATATTGTTGCAATCCATGGAGGTCCGATGGCGCTTAAACGGCCTAAGGTTAGATTCTGGGAATGGTCTATCTTGTGGTTGCTGCCCATAAACCGGGCAAAGTGTTCAGTGCTCCGTTTTGGAGAGTCTGAGTCCTCCACAAGTTAGGTGCTCAATGGAAATGAACTTCCACACTTGACTCACCAGATTTATCAAGGTGTCGTCCACTGTTCTACACTACACTCCGGAGACAATTGGAAGAGGGTGGCTAGTAAAGGCTTCCGGATGTTGCGGTTTATCCGTCGTTCTTTCGGGATGCTAACCGCGAATGGGTTTGTGCAACTCTTCTCAGCGCTTGCGTTACCCCACGTATAATATTGCGTCCAGGCCCGTTCATCGTGCCTTGTTCGAGACAAAATAGCACTAGAATGGGTGTTAATTGTACGTACTTGTTTGGCCGAGAACTTACGGGCACAAACGTACCCCGAACGCCTACTTAGTTTGGGATGCATTTAATGCATTATCGAAGGATTAGAGGGGAACCAATCCTAACCTATCGTATTTTGACTGGGAAGCTTAGCCTTTATTTGTCCTGGCTATTTCCTCCTGCTAGATTAGCTGGCCTCCGGGGGCATTGTATGAAGCTGGAAAAACCTCGGTCCGATCGAGTTAGAGCGGAGAAACGGTTAGGGCGTCTAGTAATCTAGTGTTGGAACTAGCTTCCAGAAGTTGTCAAGGAAGCTACGGTTAAGGGGTTTGAGCATCAACCAGATGCTCTTGCGTGGCAAGACAAAAACTTCCCTTCTTCCTGACTGATTCCCATCTTCATACTTTGATCCTTATTGCTGTACTTTCCCTCACAAATGGTATTATTCTATGCTTTTGATTGGTTTCCATTACTCGTTACATTCGATTTTGCTTCCTCTTACTTATTTCACGTAACTGTCATAGCAGGGACAGCGAATGTACGAAACATGGGCATTAAATTGGTGGACTAGTGTGTTTTTACTGGAGTTTCAGTTTTAGTGGCATCAAGAATTCGGAGCAACTAGTGGCTCAAAGATCCACTCAAGAAGGAACACTAACGGGGTTCCTGCCATCGTTCCAGTCGTATTTGAAGTTGAATCATCGTATGATGGACACACATTATACACTCCGTAACATTGTATGCGTTCGACAAAGAGCAACGGGTAAGCGGAACACTAACGTCAACACGTGCTAGATCTGAAATGCAGTCAATATGGGCGCTACTTTAAAATTATCCAAGTAGAAGATTGAAACCAAAAGGTATAGTTGTCTAACTCCGTAGTGATTCATCTACGTCGTGCGGTGTTAACTTAGATTTCCATTAGTACATTCAGCATATGAATTACGGAGCAGGTTCCTTAACCAGTTCTTTTGTGCACTTCGTTTCCCCTTGTCCACGAGTTCTAGAACTTGGGAGCGTATATTCGTGATGATGTGATGGCAGGGCATCCACATGTGTATAACTGTAAGGCTGAATATGTCTAGCTTTTGAAAACAACAATTTCAGTGTTATTCGGATTTTCAAGCGGTTATTATTTCCCTCAAAGTAACAAGAAGCTCATTTCTACTGTGGAGGTCTAGAGTCATAAGATATACCTGCAGAAAATTCCTCACATACTATGAACTTGTGCTCTATGAAGAGCTGCAGGAGGTAGCCTCACATATCTTATAATTAATCAGCATCCCCATTTGCGACACCAAAATAAGCCTGTGTACTGTGTTATGTATTTGACTACGGTTTACATTGCAATGGAGAATGGGTAACATTATAGCACTGCAAAGAGCTGGAGTAAAAATGCTTTGTCAACTTATTCACATGTAACCCTGATAATTTGCAAAAGATTATACAACAGAAATAAATGTCATTTAAAATAATATTTTGAGTTAGCGTTTTTAATACTGACACTTTTGCTCTTTTAAGTTACTCTAAACCAGTCAGAGTGCTTTTGGAAACAGCGCGTTATACGAGCAGCCTATTTATTATCACGCTCATTTCGACTCTTTCTTCGTAGTCAAATCAATGGCTGGTTACAATACAGAGAAAGCACCAAACGTTCGTGTTACTCTGTTAGAAGACCCTAATAACAGTCTTCAAGAGTTGTTTAATCCCGTTTCTCAGAGGCAGCAGGTGCCACTGAATCAGCGAAAATTGCCAAAATCATTTTTTGTTCCTCCCACTGGATTTAACAACCCCACTTGCCTACGAGAGTTTCCATCAACTGATTTAGTTATCTCTCATAGCAAGGCAAACTCCTCTCCTGCTTGCTTGGGTGCTCCTTTGTACACGTCTGTCGAACCCAACATTCCTAACCATGCACACCAAAAAAGCTTGGATATTGCTGCAGATTTCATACATGGATATTCACACAATATTGATGTGAACGATCTGGCTGCTGAGGGATTTATGTATGGCTCCAGGTAGGTCTCGAGCTCCATTTTGCATTAATATAGTGAAAACCCTACATCAAACTATGTTTGTAGACCTGTCTTAAACTATGCCGTTAGTGAATTGCCATCTGGATACGAAATGACGTTGAATGAAAACAATCAAGTTTACTTTCTGAATCATCGAACTAAAGAAACAACATGGTATGTTGAATATTTTGGTAATATTTCCAAAGGTTTGACCCTCGTATTCCTGAGGCACAGCAAAAATGGGGAATGACTCTTGAAGAACTTCAGCAGCTTCATTTAAGCTATGCAGGACAATTGAGAGGAAATGCCGCAATATTCAGACCCCAGGTATTCAACGCCTCTTCAGTATGTGTGTATTCATATTAAACATTTTTGAGGTTGTTTCAGTTAGCAAAATGTAAACTTCTTTATAAGTGTAACTGTCCAACCTGGGTGATAATATTTTCTGCCGCGGTTATTTAACTACATTTTTAGTTAATTAGAATAAGTGGTTACTTCGGTAAAACATTTGCGCAGGTTTAAAAATTTAGTCCACATATTGCTTTTCAACTAGTAATCGGTCAGCTAAGTAATGTTTGCTATAGTAAGTAGCATAAGGTTGGTCTTAGGCACACATTAGATCTTGCGTAAATAGGTTGCGATGTAAAAAACAAAAATGGGTCTAAAGTTCAATAACCTGTAATCTAACTTCCATGCTTTTGCAGCATAGCTGTTAATTGGTTTACAATTTGTGAGTTTTAACAATTGCCTTGCAGCTGCCACGTAGATTTTACTAAAAAGAAGCGTTAAATGTATGGAACATTGTTTTACACTATTGCTGTAGTGGTCAATTATTGTTTCAAAGAAACATGCTGGTTCCTTTGGCATTTTAAACCAGTTAGGTTCGTGGACATCTAAGGCGTTTACAATAACACAAATATGTGTCTGCGGTTTTATAATTTCTTTTGATACGGCAATTTACTCGGTATAATGTCTAGCTACCTTTAGTTGCAATGCCGTCAAACAACACAAGACCGCGCAGACTGGCACAGAATCCCTGCTAGTAAACTGGAAAAAATTTTTGTACATTTGTTCTTTGGCTTAACAGTTTTATGGGGCTTGTACTAATCCAGTTGGCTAAGAAATAAAAGTAACCTACAACATTGTAAAGATGACATTGCTATACGTTTTTATTTTTGAAAATTTACAGCACTAAACGATTGTAACTAAACTGTTGTAAAGCTTGCAATCTTAACCATCTCATTGTGCTTACCAGCTTCTTTTCGGCAAAGTCACTTAGCCAGTTAAATATTTTGAATCCTTCTTTTGTAGACTTGCGTTTTTTACACTACAAAGTGGTGTGCCATGAGACGCTCGTTGTGACTAACTACTTCTCTATTCTGTGAACGCGCCGACCAAAATGCACATGTTGTAAGGAATAAAAAGCGGTTTCTTACTGTTTAAACAGTGGTATTAGCTCTCGCAATGTTGTGCTAGTTTGACCTAGTAAACGCGTAAGAACGACGCAAGAGCAATGTACCTTCTTTAAACAAATTGCTGTTCCAACTTATATTTTGAGTATAACCTTAAAGGACATTGCATTATACCAGTATGCTTCTGCGTTGTAAATACGCTTATATATTATAAGGACACAAGACGGTAGGTTTGAGACTTTTACATGTAATAGCAAACTAGGTATCATGCGCCATGTATCCAAATGAGCTAGTGTGAAATAACCTGACCGAGCCTACTCCATCAGGGTCAATCTACAAAAAGATAGAAAACAATATTTTTCCTTTTTAACTTGTATTAGGTAGAAGCTGCTAGCAAATCAGTAAAGTGGATTATTTCTAACGTTCTAGGCTCTTAGTGACTTAAGTGAACAGATATATCAAAAAAACGCCAAAATAAACCAAACGTATTTTTGGAAGAAAGGTAGCAAATTTGGTGCCATTTGGTGGCAAGTAAGTTAGGATATATATTATATAAACATTGCCCCAATCGTATGGCAATAAAACATTGAATGGTTTAGTAAAGCCATAGACGCTTCTAGTAAATGCTTCGCAACAAGTCAGCTAACGTACCGCACTACCGGTGAAGTTACTTCCTAATTATCCAACAAAAGCGTTAGTAACAAATGTAGTATATAATCCGTCATTTTTAATGTTTCTTAGCGCAAGAGCTCCATACAAGTTTTCCAACCAAACGTAATGCGTAGCGCAGTGGACCGTAATGAATTGTATACTGATTTTATAGATGTATTTGAATAGTCCCCTAACTAGTGTGGCGAGTGCATGCTAGGCAGTCAAAACAAAAACTTTCAAGTTGCAACCAGTGCGCTTATTAACCAAGATATTTGTTTTAAACGGCCTGATACCAAAAGAAACAATTAACCTACTATCTAATATCAGAATATTAGTTTACTTTAAATTATCCGCATGCACTAGTGTTTCGATGCCACGATGTACGCCAAATGGGGAAGTTTCTTGTAAGTGTTTTAACATCAATCCAACTGAGACCATCAGTGCTGGAGAGTAAAAGCTATTAAATGGTTAATTTCAGCCATTTCTTTACTCAACCAAAATCACATATTTTACACAATAGTCACGTTTATACGCATAAACAAACTTTTAAAGTACAACAACGAATCGTTTTCAATATATAAAAGTGCTTCCACGGCCGGGCATTGCACCGCTAGACAGTGCGTTAACTTTCATTTTGCACATTTTCATAAACTATATCTTATTTAAGTATATAAAAGCTTGTATACATGCCGTTGGTAAATGAAAAATACTTTATTTATATTTGAACTCTGTGAGGCATTATATCGGTATAACGATTATTCAAGCAAATTTGTATAGCTAAAGTGAAACTACTATAACTTGCCATCCTTGTAAGCTTCACATTATTATCCGCTATGTCTTTTTAGACCGGCGTAAGAAGGTCCTTATATATATTACTTTAAATTATTTTTGCTTCTGTGCACGTGCCATTTGCTACTTAACTGCAAAATAATACCATTAGAAAATATATAGAGTCAAGAAATGGACGACAGTTAGCCGATAAGACTAGGTCAGAGCACACGGTATCCAACTAAACATAAATTAACTGCAATTAATAATTCTGTTAACCGAATCTTGTTTGTTAGCTTTTTAATAGCTTGACTTCAAAGCATGTATTGTTCGCATCTAATAAAGATATAATGTGGAAGCCTACTGCTCCCTCATCCTCCCCATGCCTCAGACCAAACCAATTCATCAAGCTTCTTCTTTAGTATGTAAACTGTGCTTTACTTCGTGAATACTAGCCTTCTGTTTGTATTGCTTTTAAAAACAGCAGCTATTGTTGCTGGAATTTAGCAGCTTACTTTACCTTGGACATGGCGTGTCTAATGTGGTGACGATTGATAGTGCCGCAAGTAGTAGCCACTGCATCGTGCATGGAGAACGATATTCGATTCCCGTGAAGTTACTTTTTTTAGGGGATAATGTGAAGACGCAGTATCCAAAATATCTAAGTAGTCTTACTTGATGGTTGACTGGTATAACTTTTTAGTTGCCAATCGAGATAGGCTGTTGCTGCACATCTCGGAAAATTTCATGAAAGAAAGGTAGCGTACCAAAATTAGCTCGATTTCAACGCATGTATTTTAAAACGTTTAGTACTTTAAAAGTGGAGCAGGCTACTGGTAACTTAAAACAACGTTATTTAGCTAAATCTCTTGATAGCTAGCTATGAGGAACCCTAAGTTGCATTCTTGTGCCGCTGTGCTAAAAAGCGGTGCGTTGCGCTATTGCAACCTAAGCTCGCCATTATCCATTTGGTTTTATTTAATTTCGCCTTCATCTACTAAGCTAGATTTTATAAATCTCGGAGAACTGAATTGCGCTTATATAATCTCTGTAACAACAGTAATGTCTTTAATGGAAGCGCTGTGCAGCAATGTGTTCAATTCTTAATAGCAGTTGCTTTGGATAGCATCCGAGCTGCAGTCAGTGAGTCTATAAGTGGCAACTACAGGCATAATGTGTCTAGTGCTACCCACTGGATCAGCCTAGTTGATGTGTATGGATAAGCCCCACAACAAAAGCTACTCATATGGCGCTGATCAGTCTACCTTGACGCATCTATTGGGTTAAAAGTGATGCTTACATCAGCTTGACTAATAGCTGCTGCATAAACGTCACCGAATGCGTGCAACAAAGGCGTAAGCACAAGCCTAATGCATTCAGTTTAACATGCTTGCGCGGATCATTGATCCTTGTTAGGGCCAAGTGGATATGCCCAACCAGTGTGTGAGTAAAGTTTGTGAAACGCTTTATCATAAGATGCAAACGCTGAGCACCGCCAGGGAATAACTGGCAGCATGAACCTATAATTAGGCGTTTACCGATAGTAGGCAAAAGTGTGATGCAAAAAGTATGTCGATGACAGGACACTGAAAGCATTGTTTTATATTAAACTAACAATTACAGAAAGAAGGGTAGTAATAAAGTGTGGGATTAAAGTAATTGAAACAAGTGGATAAAAGGAGCATCAATAATAGCATATTTATACTTCTCTGCCCCAATATCTGCAGTAGATAAGACAGCCCGTTTTAATCTGCACGACGGCCAGTGCAGCATGCGGTTGAAATTAGATAAAATACTCATAATTACACGCAGGCAGAGATACTCCCATGGCACTCTAACTTGGACAGAAGAACGAGTAGAGTATTTAAACAGAACCTTTGACACAAAAGCCTGACAGCAATGCAGTGCAGGAGGAAGCAATTTGATTTTACAGAAAGAAATGCCACCACATCTCTTACACAACCTGGGGGACCAGACGTCTGCTTTTGCTGACCATTGACCTTTAACTAACTAGGTGGGAGCAAATCTCAAGGAATCTTAGGATGACCAAATTAGTATATCCTGTTAAGCTGAACAGATATATAAAACTTTCCGCCAATGTTATGGCTCATTCTCGTTGTGATGTATACTATCCTCATCGCTACGTAACATAACGCGCGAGCTGATAGATCTTGAGAGTTATCAACAAACCAGACGGAACGAGGTATCGAGTTGAAGTGGTCCTAAAAGCAAGGTAGTTTACTTTGTCCGCTGGTACTAATCTCAGAAAACTTTTTCAGCTAAATTATTTATAAGGGAGGAATAGTCATAAAGTTGTACTACTTGCGGAAAGTTTGCTACACAGTATAGAATTTATAATGTCTGCAAAGTACCGCAGCGGATGCAGTGCTAATAGAAATCCAATAAATAAACAGTTAAGGACCTGATGTATAAAGAGACACCACCCGTCAGGGATAAATTTCAGTTTCACGCAACATGCATCCACGTGCATATAGA